TTTTTTAATCTCTTTTAAATACAACTCCCTATAAGTCTGATTAGAAAATAAGTCCTTAAATTCCTATCGTCCTATTTAGGTTCATTTTGTCGTTATAGCGGTCAAACCGCGAACTCATTTGATATGCTTATTATCAAGGAAGCCCACGTATTGTGACGGGCAACTACGGAACCCTACCTCTACATTGTGCGTGACCTGACAAGCGCTTGGCCAGTTTTATTTTTTCACATTCCTACATATCTAATTGGGAATTGCTCGAAATTTGAGTTGCAAGATACCACCGGGAACGACAGACAGACAGACAAACAAGAAAGTGACTTACTAAAAAAATGGTATAATTCTATTCTATTGCATTCCTTAAGCGTATAATTGATACATATAATTGATATAAAAAGCACATTGTCAGAAAGATAAATGATTGTTGAACTTATTAATATCTTTTTTAAATCGATTAATTGCTATTTTTACATAGAAAAGGGGTTTTAATGGCTTATAGAGTGGATTTATCAAGTCCGCATGGCTTCGTAAACACGATAACTTTTGAAAATATCAATTGTTCAACTCAATATATTTTTAAAACTCTTCATCTATCATGTGGGAGGTCATTTAGTGTAAATGGCAGTTTAATTTTGTTTTGTTTAGTTATAATAATTTTGTTTTCACTGCAAAATGTCGAAATGTTCTGTTTTAGCAGCCTTGTATGAATTTATTTGACTAAATAGAAACTGCCTCACTTAGTTAGTTCGGCGTCAACCGCCGTCGTGAGTGGATACTGTATCGGTTATTTGCAGCAACTCAAAAATATCGCTGTACAAATACTGAATATTCGAAAAACCAAAAGAGAATGCCAGATCGTGCCCCACATTGTACAAATAAGGTAAAAATATGAAAAATAATCTTATGAATATTGAAGTTTTTTGTGATAAATTGTTATTTTGTACAACTTGCGGTAAAATATTATTAAAAAAAAGGAATTCAACGATTAATATTTACATTTTGCAGTCTTTTCTAATAACATCTGCGTTTCTTTGTACGAATAAGTACATACGTACGCATAAAGTATCAAACAATACATATTTCTATTAAAATATATTATAAGTCTTTGTAAGTCGATAATAATTATGAATTGCATTAGATAATTACTGAATAACAATCATTGTTTTTCGTGCATTTTGTCAAATGATACACACACGTCATTGTGTCAATATCGTAAGTACGTATGTCAAGTTAATGTCGAATATTTTCACATATTGACTAATTTGTGCTTGTAAAATATATTAATTATGATTATATCACATTTTTGCTTGTGCTGATTCCTGATTTCTTTACTGTTGCATTTTTTCCTGCTTTTACGGATTCGATCACGCCTACTATTGACTTACTGCTAATTACTACGGACATTGTTATAATTGCATCCACGATGTTGAGGTGCACTAATTGTCATCTTTGCCTCGATAGGATGCAGGAGCATTTTGTGTTCTCGTTTCGATTTACACTCTTAACTTCCTTTCAACATGGAGATCTTTGCAACAGATATATTTAGTTTTATAGTTTTTTTTTATATAGTTGATAATTTATGGTCCTGCCGTTGTCGTAGAATTAGTTACTAATCCGTAAATATTTACACCTTCTTCAGACACATGTCATAATAATATGTATCTTGAAAAATAATTTTGTAAATAATATAACTCGTTTACATGACTAGGACTTAAATTTTGTGAAAAACAGGCGTCGGTAGTCTTATATTGTGTAAGGACCTTTTAGATCCCATACAAAAGAACCCTTTTTCCAATGCTACTGATCATTATTTTATTATGCTCCTTAAATTCTTATTTAATATACATCATTAACGCCTGACAATTTATATTCTGAAATTACAATGAACTGCAATGAATGCTGTTCTAAAAAATAAGGTAAGTAAATGTAATTATTAAAGTCCAGTTAAAAAAATCGCAAGTTCTAGAGACTTCAAATTATATAATTTGGATGAAGTAATAAAGTAGAAAAAAAATGTTGTATACGGCATTCGTGTACACCATACTCTTGGGGTGGGGCAAAGTTCTATAGAGAATCTGGCATACTCCTTTCATATATACTTGATTATTATAATAATCAGAGATTTTTACTACAATATTTTTAAAGCCGTTTAGTTTTAAAGCAGTCTAGTTTTAGTTTCCAGTTTTAGTTTTTTTTTATTATCATAATTTTTAATATTGTAGATAAAATTAAGTATTGTGTAGAATTTTTTCCTATCTTTTAAAGCACAGAATAAATAATATTAGTTACTTACATATGAAATTAGCATTTTGTCGTACTGACCACTGATCTGAAATATCTCCTCTTTGGTTAAGAATTCCAAATTCAAATTTATAAATTCATTTAACAGGTACATTTGAGTTTTGAAAACAGTCATTCATTTGTTTTTTTCTTTGGCGTCGCTTATTACCGCAAAATGGAAAACATGAAATATCAGTATATTTACGAGTACGAGTTCAACTGTGGCACCAGTGCTGCAGAAACAGCTCGAAGGATTAATGATGCGTACAGCACTGGTGTTGCAAAAGAAAGTACCTTTTTGGTTTCAACGTTTTCGTTCTGGAAATTTCGACCTTCAGAACCAACCCCGTGGACCAAAGTGGAAAATGAAGAATTAAAGGCTATTGTGGAAGCGGATCCATTACAAAGCGCTTCAGAGATAGCTGCAGGCTTCGGGCTAAGTGATAAAACTGTATTAATCCACTTGAAGCAAATCGGGAAATTAAAATAACTTGAACGATGGGTACTCTTAACAGTGGTAGAGCCACGCGGCAGCTTTTGCTGTCGCACGGATGGGCCGGCTCGAACCGGGGTGATACCACGACCTCACAGAAAACCAGCGTGAAGAGGTTTACCTCTGTGTTTCACTTGGTGAGTGCAGGTGGCCGGAGGCCCTTTTTATTGGAAATGAGGCATTCCATCTCAGTTCTCACGGGTGACAACGCATCTACATTTTGATTTGTAATAGAGGATAGATGTAGATGTCTATGGGCCGCAGCAACCACTTACCATCAGGTGGACTGTGTGCTCGTTTGTCACCTTTATCCTATACAAAAAAACCTCATGAATTGAGTGAATCGAACATGCAAACACGCGTCGACTGCTTTGCTCAACGGACAAAATAATGAAGGGATTTTAAATCGAATCATTACTTGTAATAAAAAGTGGATACTGTACGATAATCGGAAGCGCTCGTCGCAATGGCTGAACCCTGGAGACCCAGCCAAATCCTGCCCTGAATGAAAATTGACTAAGAAAAAGTTACTTGTGAGTGTTTGGTGGACTAGCGCCGGTATCGTTCACTACAGCTTTCTAAAATTTGGCCAAACGATTACGGCAGATATCTATTGTTAGCAACGGCAAACCATGAAGGAAGAACTAGCTGCTAAACAACCGTGATTGGTCAATCGCTCTAGGCCACTGCTGCTTCACGACAACGCAAGACTACACACAGCACAACAAACAACCACTAAGTTAGATGAGCTACAATTGGAATGTCTGCGACATCCACCGTACTCCCCGGACCTTGCTCCAACAGATTACATTTTTCCGGAATTTGGACAACTTCTTACAAGGAAAAAAATTCAACTCCGATGCGGCAGTCCAAATCGCCTTCAAAGAGTTTATTGATTGTCGCCCCCCATGGTTTTTTTTAGTAAAGGGATCAATGATCTACCTAAGAGATGGTAAAAGTGCATAGATAACAACAGTGCATACTGTGATTAATTAAATATATTTTACAAAAAAAAAAATTGACTTTATATTCCTCCCGTACAAAACGCCAATTTCATATGTAAGGACCTAATAGTAGTACGTACTAAAAGTAAGTAGGATGCAATATTTAGAGCTCCCGCAGACATACAATTGTAAGTTGGCCAACTATCGAACGACTAAATTGCGTACTTTTGTAATTTAATTGGTCAACTTTGTTTTATTGGTTACCAGCCGCAGACTTTATCAATTTAGTCCAATTTAGTCCGTGACAGTGTTGCTAGCGTGGCGCGTGTGTGTGATAATGCGGAAAAAAACGTTCTAATTGCATTAATAATAAAAAGAAGACGAAAACAAAACAGAACATTTTGGGTGCATCCTTTTTGAAAAGAACTTTTTTGTACAACGCTGGTCTTTTTTGCATTTCATCTATGAGCTCTTCTACTTTTTCGTTTGCAACAAGTAATAGTGTGGCAGATGTCGCACCCGTCGGCGAAGGCTCAAGTCCGAGCGCGGGGAAATTACGCGCGCGCGTCGGTTCGTCTTGCATGTTGCCGTGCGACTAACCAACAAAGTTGGATAGTCCGTGAGCTTGTATAGGGTAACCGTGCTAACGAGCAGTTGGCCGATAGTTGGACAACTTTTTAATTGTTCGTAATCGGAAGGGAATCTTGGTTCTGATACGATCGGTGTCAAATTAATTAGTTGGACGATTTAGTTGGACAAGATGTGTGGGCTAGCATATGTCACTATACCTATTGGTATACTCTGCGATTTAGTCGGTCAACTTATAATTGTAAATCTGCGGTCTCTCTTATACTTAAATACGTCTTGAACTTTATGGAGTGACCTGAATGATGATGATATGATGATCATATGAGCATTATGAGTTGTGCACTTTTAGATTTTCCAAACTTTTTTTAAAGTGAATTTTGACATAAAATTATCGGAAAATTGGAAGTATAATAAGGTTATTGGTGAAAACTTGTGTGTATTTAAACAACTTTAAAAAAATTCGTATCGTCATCATATACAACCCTTCTGCATCTGCATTTTGATTCGCAAATGAGAATAGATGTAGATGTCTATGGGCCACAGCAACCATTTACTATCAGATGTACTGTGTGCTCGTTTATCATCCTATCCTACAAAAAAAAAACGTAATTTTGCTAATGTGCTTAGGGCATGCACAACTGGATTTACCAATATATTTTTATATTATATATATATTGTCTTAACTTTGTTTGTTTAGCATGGCGCCAACGACAAAGGAAGAATATCTCAATGCGGAAGCCGATTTCCACAAGTCAGTTTCGCGATCTGCCCCGCGAAAATACGAAATCGTCTACTTCAGCGTATTCAAGCACATCTTGCTCCATCTGTGTGCTGCATATGGACTGTATCTAATGTTTACTAAGGCTCAATGGAAAACAGTGATATTTTGTAAGTGATAATTATATTATGCGACTAGCTCTAGTTGACCATATTATTCACTTCTCAGTGGGTCATGTGCTCCTGGTAAATTATCATCTCTACATCCATCCATTACAGCCTATAAAAGTCCACTGCTGAACATAGGCCGTCCCCATAGGTTGCCTCGTAAGGGGATATATGCCATAGTTGTAATGTTACTGTTGATTTGAAAAGTTCACCTCTCAGTGGGTCATGTGCTCCTGGTAGATTATCTTTTTTACATCCCTACATTACAGTCTATAAAAGTCCACTGCTGAACGAACATAAACCTCCCCCATAAATTACATCATAGGGAGGCATTTGCCATAGTTGCCACGATTGGCTCACTTGCCAAGCGTGGCAACCGCAGTTTTTTTTATTTTTAGTCTCCTGATTTGTTTCCCTCTGTCGCCTCTTACGCTATCACTACACGGTAAATAAGTTAGTATGAAGTAAGTTTGAATATACTATATTTCAGACCCAAAAATTGATCTTGTCCCCTAATTTGAAATCTTTAAACTCTTTTAGACAATATCGCCTGCAGCCAATAGTAGTCTCCACAGGTTGTCTCCTCACAAGGCTTACAGATGCGTTGTTCCTCTGAGGACAGAGATGGAATGCCTCACAGTCTATAAATAAAATTACAGCTCGAACACGTATTGTAACGACGTATTGATCCAGTTTTTCACAATCTCGGCCGTCCTATAGTCCTGTGGGAACACGTGGAAGTAGTTATGATAGCCTTCGCCAACAGACAGCAGATGATCGATTGGGTTGGTTTGATGGTTTTATCGTATGGCTTTTTCCCCCATAAGTGGTTGACGCTGTTGATACTGAACGTTACTTAAAGTCCGTAAACAGCGAAACACGTTAAGGTAGAAGGCGTTTGTGAAAGATTCATTCCAGAAATAGATTGGGAGTAACGTTTTTTTTGGTATGACGTAACAGCACATTCCTATCAATGGAATTGCATATCTGAAAATTTAATGATTTTATTGTTTTTGAAGTGAAAAATTTTTTAGAATCGTTGTGATTTGAAAGTGGATGAAAAGAATAAGCGACACTAAAAAGAGACAAACATATACATCTATAAGATTGATCTGCGTGACAATGAAATAATAATAAATTAATACAGTATACTGTGTTTCCTATTATCTCGAACTCAATAAATTAATAATAAAAAAGAATTTATAATATTCTTTTATTATTAAAAAATAAATGAGGTTTCATTTCTACTTCGTGTATACTGCATATTACATGTTTTTTTTTTAATATTATAGGTATGTGTTATGCCTACGCCGGAGGTTTCGGCGTCACCATCGGGGCACACCGTCTTTGGACACACAAGGCATTCAAGGCGAAGTTGCCACTCGAAATAATATTGATGCTTTTAAATTGTATCGCATTTCAAAGCACCGCAATTGTGTGGATACGGGATCACAGACTGCATCACAAGTTAGTCATAGGATATTGATTTCTGTCGCTTTTTTTTTATAGAAATTAAGGATTAAAAATATGTAACAAAATTACATACATATATGAAATAAACTTCAAATCACTTTGAAAACGTGCTCACATGAATAAGGACAGACGTTTTGCAAGTCACATTAAACAATATCGGTGTTAGATTGTCAAAAATAACGTTCGCTGTTTACAAAACAAAGAACTCGTCAACTCGCCGGCTCGCAGTCGACTAAAGGAGTTACGGAGAATTGACCGTAACTTAGTGAGCAATGTATTAAGGCCACAGAGCCCGTTTAGTATAGTCTTTGCGGACATTGCTTAGAACAATAGAGCTGTTACTGCAACGAAACGCCTAGCCACCAGCCGAGTCGCCATCCATCTATTAATTACAGTCTACTGCTGAACATCGGTCTACCCCATAGATTGCCTCATGGTGGGGGGGGGGGGGGGGGGGTGCCTTATTTGTCGCGCTAGACAGGCGTGTTGACAACCGCAAGGTTTTTTTCATATTTAAAGTTGCATCAGCTTAATCTGTTTTTAATACTCATTACTTATTTATATTAATTACATCACATTGACTTTTTTAGCACAATAAAAATGCCTTTCATTCTATCATTACAGCTTGTCAAAAGTCCACAGCTAAATATAGGTCTTACCCATAAAATGTCTCACGTATATATAATTATTTAGTTATCGGGCAGATACCATGCACATCTCTTATTTCAGTTTCCCTCTGTCACGTCTTACGACACGACTCTTACATCCTCATAAAATTTCATGTTTATAATATTAGTAGAATGAAAATCGATTCTTTAGGAGTAAACTCCAAAAAATTACTTTCAATAAGAATAAGGCCGCCAGTCTCAACGGAGACTAGCCACCGGCGCAGGACAGGATTATAGTGCCCGAGTGCATGCGCAAGCACAGGTGCTTTCTCTATTCTCTCACTCACAAACTCCGATGCAACGGCAATCCGACATCACCAGCGAGAGATCAGGCGCAGGACCAACTACTTTACATGATAAAGTAACGTAACACCGTTTTCTACGTGGTAGAGCCATGCTGCAGCTATATTATGGCTGTAGCACGAATGGGTCGGCTCGATCGCGGAAGGACCACGCTGTCACAGAAAACCAGCGTAAAATAGCAGCTTAACGCTGCTGTGTTTCGTGTGGTGAGTGTAGAGAACCGGAGACCCTTTTTACTGGCAAAGAGGCATTCCATTTTAGTCCTCACGGGTGACAACGCATCTGCATCTTGAGTCTTTATTGAGGATAGATGTAGATGTCTATGGGTCACAGTAACCACTTATCATCAGGTGAACTGTGTGCTCGTTTGTCACCCGATCCTATTAAAATAAATTATTTCCGAGGCATGGGAATGAAACACCGACAATTTACTGACTCCGGGCTGCTTTGGTATACTAGCAGTACACCAACGAGACAGTGATAAACATTCTTTCATCTATAGATACAGCGACACTGACGCGGATCCGTACAACGCTTCAAGAGGCTTTTTCTTCTCGCACATCGGATGGTTGCTTGTGAGGAAGCACCCGAAAGTGATAGAAAAAGGGAAGACCATTGATATGAGCGACATTAATAACAATCCCGTGTTGAAATTTCAACAGAAGTAAGTACAATACAGGATTATTTTGCAATATATGTCCAACTTTGCAGAGAAGGTTCACAATAAGTACGAGGGTGATACTGAAAGATCTTAGAAAATCAAAAACTGAACAAACTAGCAAGTTCTTACTTTTATTATATCTTTTGATAATAGTGTCCATTTATATCAATACATCGCTGCATCCGATGGAACCACTGAGAAAAGCACTTTGCCCACTCGTCACTAGGGGTCTCTTCGACGGCATTTTGAAAAGCAGCCACTGCTTCCGCGACGTCCATAAAATGTTTTCCTCGAGGTTTTTCTTTTATTTTCGGAAATAAATAAAAATCGCAAGGTGCGAGGTCAAGGCGGCGGGTGACCCAGAAATTCTACGTCTGACGTTGCTAAGTACTCGAGTGTTTGCTTGGCGGTGTGCGATGAGGCGTTGCCGTGGTGAAAGAGGATCCTACTACGAGGTCGTTTTTCCCGAACTTTTTCCAAGACAAGTGGCAAATAATTGTTAGTGTACCACTCTGTAGTAAATGTTTTTCGATCCTCTAACCATTTGATTCGTAATGACCTGTCCTTCGGAAGAACGAGTGCACCATCTTTTTTCCCACGCTTCAACCTCTCTACACTTTAGTTGGTAACTTCTCCGAACGAAACACCCAGACAGGAGGCTGGGCTGTCTCTTAGTTTCAAGATCATAACAATAAATCCAGCCTTCGTCACCCGTAAGTATGTCGAACACAGCATTTGAGTCACCTCCGTTAAATCTTTGAACAATTTCACGACACCAATCCACATGACGGAGTTTTTGGGCCTCTGTCAAATTATGAGGTGTAGGAGGGCACAAAGCTTCCTGACCGCTAAATGTTCATTGAGGAATTTGTGCACTTAACTCATACCGATGCCTAAGCTTGTCCGAATCTGCTGATAAGTCACTCTTTTGTCAGTCTCTATCGTACGCCGCACAGCACTGATGTTATCTTCAGTCGTCGCAGTAGAAGGCCGTCCCTCACGCAGATCATCGGTGAGATAAATGCGACAACGTTCAAACTCATTAAGCCAGTTGTAAACAGTGGCACGACATGGGGCTTCATCGTGAAAGGCCAATCGAAGTCTATCATAACTTTATTGTCGACTTAAATGACATCGAAAATCATAAAAAATCATTGTACGAAAATTTTCTCGCGTTAATTTCATGCTGATGTGACACAGACAATTTTCAATTTTCAAAATAAATAATTAATAATATACATACACAATAATATTGGCAAAGAGTTCCATTTTCAAATTTTGAACTTATTTTTTTATTATATCGTTTACAAGTGGGCAGTTCTAAAAATTGTCAGTGTCGCCCTCGTCGGGAATTTTGCAGAGAAATTAGTTTAAAAATATCTCAAAAATTCTGTCCTTTTCATCTTTTAAATTCAGTAAAATAGACGTCAGTTGGCCTAAACACAATAATTGATATAATCGTTTTTTTTTATAGGATAAGGGTGAAAAACAAGCACTCGGTCCACCTGATGGTAAGTGGTTACTGTGGCCCATAGACATCTACATCTATCCTCGATTACGGATTTAATTTCAGATGCGTTGTCAGCCGTATGGACTAAGATGGAATGACTCGTTTCCAGCAAAAAGGGTCTCCGGTTCTCTACACTCACCATACGAAACACAGTAACATTAAGCTGCTATTTTACGCTGGTATTCTGTGAGAGCGTGGTCCTTCCCCGGTCGAGTCGATCCATTTATGCTAACACTATATTACTTATACAGCTGTAACATAGCTCTATCACGTAATTATAATATTCTGTCTCATTCTCTCGCAGTGTAAATCCAATAGATGTATATGTTTGTCTCTTTTTAGTGTCGTTTTTTCGTTTCATTGTATTTCAAATCACTTAGATTATAAAGAAGTTTTTACATCAAAAACACTTAATAAAATCATTACTTTTTCAGATATGCAATTCCCTTGGTGGGAATGTGCTGTTTCGTCATACCAACGCTGATCCCAATTTATTTCTGGAATGAATCTTTCACAAACGCCTTCTACCTCAACATGTTTCGCTATATTTACGGACTTCACGTAACGTTTTGTGTCAACAGCGTCAACCACTTATGGGGGAACAAGCCATACGACAAAAACATCAATCCAACCCAATCGATCATCGTTTCTCTGCTGTCTGGTGGCGAAGGCTACCATAACTACCACCATGTGTTCCCATGGGACTATAGGACGGCCGAAATCGGGAACAACTGGATCAATACGTCCACGTTGGTCATAGATTTATTGCATAAAATCGGTCTAGCCCACGATTTGAAGACGACTTCAGAAACGATGGTGCAAGAAAGGCTAAAGCGAACTGGTGATGGAAGCGATTTATGGGGGGTAGCTGCAAAATTGTAAGCGGCCTTTTGGATACAAAACTAAGTTTATTTACATCCATTTAACATTAATTTACAAGTGATGGTACGAAATGATTGATGTCCGAGTCATATTTTAAAGAAACGCTTAGATCTCTGTTATGATTTTTTTTAATGGTTTATTACATAAAAATATAGTTGGTTGTTTCTTAACCACTTTCGCCAAATTGCAGGGAAATTTTTTGGCGAATACATCACCTACTTACATTTTATGTACCTACTGTAATTAATATCCTAATCTTAGATTTAAAAGTTAATATAGAAAAGTTAAATTTAAACTTAGAAGTGTTATTTACATACCCTATTATTTTTAAACTTATTACTAACTAGCTGTTCCCCGTGACTTCGCCTGCGTGTAAATTAGGATTTTTTTTGCGCGGAACTCTAATTCTTGTTCTAAAATAAAAGTAACTTAACCACTCTACTTAGTTAGTCTTCTTCTTAATAACTAGCTTTACGGCTCTGGGATCTAGCCCTTCTGAGCCTGAAGTTTCAATATTATATTATAATAATTATTCTTCATAGTATACTGCTTCACAATATGTTGATGCGTCACATTGTGCAGCCCTTGGGAGATTTTGACGGCAACTTGAGCCAGCAGACAGCTGACGGTTAGCGATGGTATCTCAAGGTGCATAAGCAGACAGGCACCTTATTTTGAGAATCACATCACTATCAGAGCACTTGTTTCACAGTTTCCACTAATAGTTCACATGCGCAGACACTTAATACACAAAATCGCACCACTTTTACATATCAAAGTCCACTTAAAACCATTATTTAAACAATAAAACAGGAGCAACAAACCGCCGCCGGTCAAGTTTCCGCCAAAACTCCTCTACTTAGTTAGATCTATGGTCAAGCCAAAGAGTATAATAGGTCAGGCCAAAGACAATTTTTTTTTAAATGAAGGTAAATATAACTTAAGTCATTACGAAATTCTTATCCAATAATAAAAAATTATCAACAATTAAGATATTGCATTATTTGTTTGAAGGTCAAATGAGCGCTAGAGAAACGACGCTTGCAAGACGATTCGTCGATAAATAAAATGTTTTTAGAAGTTATCAATTACCGTGTAATGGCGGTGTACGAGTATCCATACCATCCCGTGGGTCTCGTAAGAGACTTGGGGTTATTTTTAAATAACCGTGACCGTCGTTCCGGTTACCAAAAATCATCATGACTTTGTCACGTTGATGAAGTTGGATAACTAGTTGGAACATTAGAAAGACTTATAACGTGACTTTATATATGCATTATAGATTTAGTATTAGGTTTTATTTCAGTATGCGATTGTTTATTACCTTCCTTACTTAAGCTACGTGGATATGTTATAAGTTGTATGTTGCAAATTATTTACACTATCTTTAATAAGTTTTTCTTTTTCTCTCGAATTGCATTCTCAAACTAGCGAATTTCTCGAAAAAATGTTCTTTATTACCCAAAATTTTAGGGCTTTTAGTGCAGTTTTAATGTCATTTATGGCTGTAAATCACAAATGATTCATGATGACTAATCGTATAGATTGTATAAATTGAGTATACTTAAAGATTTAGGATCTAAAGCACATAATGTGTAAAAATTATTCTTTACGACCGTACCAGATTTTAAACAAAAACCAATTTGTCCTTTACTACCTATACATCTTTAGAGAAACTAGAATTATGCTTTACTACCTAGAAATATGAAGATTTATCTTACACGTCTTCTATCTATCTGGAAACTAAATTGAACTTTACCACTAGTAACAACAGCAAACAGATAATCGAATAAATACAACCCAACCAAAATTATTAGTCTTTCTCGCTTATACAATTTCCGAAAAGGACAAATCCAGGCGACCAACGACCTAGACACGAGCGCTAGACAGAGACAGAGCTACGTGGAATGTTCTTTGATTAACTTCATCCTGAGTTTCTCTTGTACCTGCTTGCACTTCTCACCCCTGTGCTTACCGACTCCACTACTCCCGACCGACGACACGTTTAGATGTAAACAAAACAGCAAAGTGGTAACGGCGTTTTGTCTCAGGTTGTTTTTTGACCTTTCTAATGATTATTTCTGAAATATAAGAATTTCACCTAACCTAGGTGATCAGTCAGTGTACCGTACAAGGTAGATATAAGTTAGATGAATAACTAATTTTATTTTTAGAAAATTGTATTGATATCCAACGTTCACGACAGCGAAATCTGACGGTACGGACGGGACATATTATGCAAAAATACCGATACGCGCACAAAAATAAACATAAATCAAAATATTTATCTTTGTACTGACTGTCAATTAAATTCACATTACAGTCAATTAAACTAATGTGGGTAATTTCTAAACTTAAGCAATGTTTTTATTAGTTCACAACACAACAAAAGAAGGCAAGTAATTAGTGAATGCAATTCTATGAACGAACAACACTATATATATATACATGGCTTAATCTAACTAATGCGTAAAACAACCCGAACAAAGTAATCTTTAGGGATCTGCCCCGTACACTTACCAGACAATAATGAACTCTATGTTAAGATGTTTCAGTGCAATATGCTTTAAGCATACCGCGAAGTTAAAAACCTAATAAGGGTATAGGTATAGGTCCCATAGGACGTGGTGCGAGCAATTTCGGGAAGTCCCCGTACATAGATTTTGTGTTAAAGGTTCATTTTAGTGTTGTCGTGTTTAGAATATTACTTTTCAATTTTATTTATGAATATTATTTTATATTAGTTGAAAATGCAAAAAATCGGGAGACACGGTCGCTAAATCGGGATATCGGGAGATACTAATTAAAATCAGTAGATCTCCCGATAAATCGGGAACTTTTGCAACACTGCTAACGAGCGTTGCTACCATTCAGTGCCAAGAGACTGAGCGAAAGTGTGCAAGTTCGTCCTTAAGAGCAATCATCAGTTACTCCTCATAACATCAGCTATCTGCCAATGAAGTCCCGTTAAAATCGGTCCAGCCATTTCGAAGATTAGCCGGAACAAACAGACAGACAGATAGACAAGAATTATAGTAATTTATTTTTTGTCATAAGTACCGTATTTACTTTCATATGCATTTAGTACAAAGCTGTTATTTTCACATTACAAACAGACACTTCAATTTAATTTATTTGTAAGTCATGTATAGATTACACATAGAAATATTAATTAATACTATTATTTTCAATTTAGACAATATTAACTTATCACACGTATAATTATCCAGCAACCACATTTTAAATTTCTCCAACACATTTGACCACATTCGTCTTCAGAAAATTGTAAATTTAGCACGATTTTTAAACTATTTGCAACACAACGCAATATTATGTAAGTATATTCTATTTTTCTTTGTCATTTATGGAAGTATCGATGTAGAAGATGTCGTCATTTACAAACCTTCGTGGTTTATAGATGTTATTTTTCTTATACTGGGTGGCGATTAGGTTATCATATTAAATAACACTGCGGTATATACAAGTTCATATTATGTCGATTAAAATAATAAAATTAACAATTCTAATAAAATAAAAAAATGCATCTTTCAAACAAAATAAATAGCGAAAAAATTGTCACGAAATAAATCACCTTGATAATATTAGTTCACTGACCAGAAGTGACATGTAAAAGCGGCAACGGTGCGGCAGGTGCGCAGTGCTCACGCGGCATAGACATAGGTTACCTACACTTTCCGTTCATAAGTAATTAGGCATGAAACGAAAAAAGGGCTATTGCGACTAGAATGTTAATTGTTATATATATTTTTAGTTGTGTATGTTCAAAGAACGTTTTAAAGGATAAGTCTTTTCATTTAATGTGATAACTTTATCGCCCCACCGTATACAAGATGTAACAAAAACTCTGTAGTTCCCGCTATGTAAGTTTTTTTTTATAGGAGAGGGGGCAAACGAGCATGCGGCTCACCTGATGGTAAGTGACTACCGCCGCCCATGAACAACTGCAACACCAGGGAGGGAATTGCAGATGCGTTGCCGGCCTTTTAAAAAGGAGTACTCTCTTTTCTTGAAGGTCCCTAAGTCGTATTGGTCCGGAAAAATCGCTGATGGTAATCGATTCCACAAGGAAGTCGTGCGAGGAAGAAAACATCTTCTAAATCGCACAGTGGTGGACCGCCAATCATCCAGATGGTGTGGATGGTATCGGGAGTTCTGCCGCGATGTGCGTTCGTGAAATTTGGCGGCTGGGATTAATCCGAACAATTCCTCAGAGCACTCCCCATGGTAGATGCGAAAGAAAATGCAAAGGGATGCAACATCTCTTCGCAGTGCCAATGAATCGAGCCGATCGGAAAGGGCTCGGTCGTCGACGATTCGAGCCGCTCTGCGCTAGATGCAGTCAAGTGGAAGGAGCTGGCACTGGGGAGCCCCTGCCCAGAGATGGGAACAGTATTCCATGTGAGGCCGAACCTGCGCCTTGTAAAGTTGCAGGCGGTGTGCCGGCATGAAATACTGTCCCACTCTGTTGAGCACGCCAAGCTTTTTAGAGGCCAATTTGGCCTTCTCTTCCAAGTGACCACGAAACTGCACGTCACTCGATATGTCGACTCCGAGGATACCGATACTGGCTGAGGCAAGAAGGTGAGTGCCTTGAAACTGAGGAGATACGACAAAGGGGTTCTTTTTAGCGGTAAACGCGCAAACTTGTGTCTTCTGAGGATTAAACTGGACTAGATTTAGTCGCCCCCAATCCGAGATATTTTCCAGCAAAAACTCGACTTCAGACACAAGTTTGTTCCGGTACTCGGTGACGTTTTCCCGAGAAATATTGGCACGGCCGGTGTATAGAGCATCACTAGTGCTGTCATCCGCATAGTAATGAATGTTACCAGTTAGCAACATATCATTGATATGCAGAAGAAACAGCGTTGGTGATAGCACACAGCCTTGTGGAACACCAGCGTTAATAGGCTTGTAGTCAGAACATGCACCATCTACAACGACCTTGATGCTCCGATCTGCAAGGAAGCTGGTGATCC